TATATATATATATATATATATATAATGTGTGTATTTATATATGCAGCTGAAATAGGAAGTCTAGTGCATCCTAAATTTGTCAACATTAACATTTTAATATAACATTATAGTCATTATGTCCTTCAGAAAAATATATTTTAGGGTGGTCATCTCACATTAAATGTCCATTTGAAAATTCTAACTGCTCACTGTTTTACTCAATACTTTTACTTTTAATATGTACAGTTAGTACATTTACATCAGAAATTTACTTTTGATACTTAAGTACTGTAAATGTCAGATACTTTTACTCAAGTAATATTCTTAGAGGAGATTTTACCTTTTACCAAAGTAATTTTATAGTAAGATACTTGTACTTTTACTCAAGTATCACTTTGAGGCCCTTTTAAACAACACTGGTGGCATATTAGGGCTGAATGAAATATATTTACACAAGATTGTAGCCCAGAAGTATTAGAGTTGTGTTACATTGCTCTGCATATTCATCAGAGTGATGCCTGCTGTCAGGTGCTTCTCACAGGAGGAGGCGAAAACAGCTCATTATGCTTCCACCCTGGTGATCAGTGGAGGCACGCAGAAGTCGAGCGGTACAGGTGGGACATCCCCACCACCCACCCCACCCCTACCCAGAGTCCCCTGGCCTAACGCCACGAGGGGAGGCGACAAACAAAAAGCGCTTCATTAAAATGCAAATGGTGGTGCTCATGTCCCCCCGCTCCACTTTGTTTGCCTTCGAGAACGAAACGTCACCGATGTGAGTGTTACTAGAAAAGCACACACTCATTTACACAATCGTGCACTTTTTATTTCGTCCTGACCCCATTCACACACAAGATGATAAAAAACACACACAAGTGCATTGAGGTGCCCTCTTTAAAGCGTGTGTTCCTAAAATAAACTCATGCCGTATGCCTCATGCCTCATGCCTCATGCCATAAACACATGCTCTCACGCTCTCAGTGAGGAGCCGGTCAATATTTAATCCGTTTTCTGGTGCGCTCAATGTTTTGGCCGGCTTCAGTGAGAAATGGAGAAAAGCTACGCTTTTCCTCTTGGCTTTTAGGTAATCTGTAAGTCTGATGTGATGTTACGCTGTTTTTAATATTAATAACCTCTTATGTTGGTGGCTGAGTAAAGCAGCTACAACCTGCAAACATTAGCTCATTTATTAATGCATTAAATTCCTTCTTTTTTATTTGATTAAAATTTAATTGACTTCACAGTTTTCTGATTAGAACAACCTTTGYTCAGTTTTGTTTGTATTAGTTGGCATTACCGTGGTTAAGGTGTTTTCTGAATAGTTGTCTGCCACTCGACTTCCTGTTTAGTGGTTTTATCAGTGATGAAGTTCACCATAAGAATTAACAGCYGAGTCATTCTGATAATAAAGATTTTGACTTATTAAATGGCAATTTTCACCAACCTGATCACATGTACAGTAAATCAGTTTCCCTAGATCTATATTTCATAAATCATGATTGGAATCGATGAGGGCTGGGTGTCACCTCCGAGGTCATGGCGATTCGATACGATTTTCAATATCTTGATTCAGTTTTGATATCGATACTTTACTTACTGCTCAGTGCCTCTGACTCAACAAAACCAGCAAAAACAATTATATATTTATMATTATGAAAACCAAAATGTGTCCAAATGTCTGCTTTGAAGGAGAAAGGTGCTTCTAGAATAGACCAATCCGTAGTTGGAAATGATCACAAGTGCACGTGTGAAGTGGACTTCACACATTTATCAGGAAAAATCTGAGCTTGCTATGGAAACACCGTTGTAATTGCACAAATTCAACAGGTAAATTTACGCCATTAAACATTCCTGATGTATTTGCTCTAAACAGATTTTTGTTAGATCGTGGATGAGATTTTTTTTTATAAATATCTAAGCTATATACGTTCTTTGTGAGCTCACTGAATTTGCACCACAATGACATTTTCATTGCAAACTCAGCGTTTACCTTGTTGACCTGTGACCCAGAAGAGCTAGGCTTTGCTTTGCGTATTTGTGATACATTTCTAACTATGAAATGGTCTATACCAGTCATTCCCAAAGTTGGGGTCGGGGCCCCCAGTGGGGTCCCGAAACATCAAGGTGGGGTCCTGAAAATATTTTCTGAATTGATTACACTAAAAAAAATGACAACTAACAACATTTTTTTGCCTTTGTTGTCACAAAAGAATAACTTTAGTGTATGTAAAATGGACAAAAATAGTGTAATGAATAATATTACYATGCGCTTGTGTATTTGTGAAAACAATGTTTATCAGCCGACAACAGCTGGGGACACAAGTCTCTGCTGCTGCCRTTTTATAGGTCAACAGCTGAAAAGTTTGGGAACCACTGGTTTATCCTGCTTCATCTCACTTGGAGCCGTCTGTTCCTTGCTCTGAATAGTAATCACGCATCATTATACTGCCCCCTAAGGGTGGAGAGTATCGATATTAAAAGAAAATTGATATGATATTGATATATTGATATTTTTATGCACAGCCCTAGAATCAGCAGYAGAGTCTCGATGACTGCACTGAAGATGCCTCAACAACAGGTCATCACGGAGCTTTTTGTCACAAGCTTTAGYATCTTTGAACAATAAGAAACAGCGGTGTGACATCTGTTCTGTTGGGATCTTTCTTCTCCTCTCTCCCACATCCTCCCTACATCCTCCCTTTCATTCATTTTAACTCCACGTTGCGCAGAATGAAYCCTCTCCTCTGCATCAGACGCCCAGCCGGGCTTTCGGAAGTGCAGAAACTTTCTCTTTCATTAGCCTCAGCTCCACTCCGGCGTTTCACCGTGGCGACAGATTCTGTGCGCTCATGATGGAGGCAGAAGGAGGAGGAGGAGGGAGACGAGAGGGGGAGGTCACAAAACATGATGACAGGGATGTGGTTGGTTCTGAACAAGCATGATGTCATGCTCCACGGCTTTGCTGCAGGGAGGGGGATTGACTGCTGTAGGTTTGCGAGTGGGATCGGGTCACACATGAGCCCAAGATTTACTGCAGAGAAAAACAAATTGTTTACAGTTTTTACTGTYAAAATAAAAGAAACAACATCTTTGCTGGGATTAGGGTTTTTTATGTTATAACCAAATCTTATATTTGAGGTTTCTCATACATTAAAGGTAAAAAACCTTGAAATGTTTAGATATAGTAAAGAAAAAGCTGAGGAGAACGTTCATTGTCATTGAATATTCCTTTTTATTTTTTTACACCACAAGCAAAACTGAGGTTAAGAGCATGTAAAATTGAGACAATTACTATGAGCTGTGGTTTGAAATTTGTCTTGCCACATTTCCCAGTGTTTTATGTTCCCATGCTGCCTTTATAAAATGACACGMCTGCCCCCTTTTGGTAACCATCAGTATTACACACCTCATTATGTAGTCTGACATCAGCGAAAACTCCGGACCTCCAAATATCTCTCATCCTTTTTCTCAGCAAGCCTCTCGTGGCTGGGAAAAAGATAATTGTCATTGACAATATGAAAACTTAAACTGGATTAAAATATGAGTTTGATGCAAATCACTGCTGTTTTTTGAATACATTTTGTTGGTTTTGAACCGTGTTTCAGCACAAAGACTCTCTAATCTGGCTGTGACCCCGCGTATCGGATATTCTAATAAAAAGGTGCTGAACGTGCTGTGCTACCACAGCTAAAGTTCTACCTGTGCAGCCGACCCACTGCTGTTGTGTCTCGGTGTTACAGAACCGCCAGCTGCTGAAGGACAGTTTCATGGTGGAGCTGGTGGAGGGAGCCAGGAAGCTGCGGCACGTCTTCCTCTTCACGGACCTGCTGCTCTGCGCCAAGCTGAAGAAACAAATYGGAGGGTAAAGAACTCACATTGGGGACGATTCTCACGCCAAATGTAGCTCAGTAACTGTAAAACTGACTGGGTTAAAGCCTGTTTGTGTTTAATAAAGTTGATTAGCTGTGATCTTGAGTTGGGTTGTCTCAGAATGTTAATGGGTGTACAGCCAGTGACTCATGAGACATTTTGCTAACTGGCAAACAGTGATGATGCCAATACTTACTATCAAATTTGTTTTTTATTTGTCTCTAAATATAAATAAATCTAAACATGTTTTATTGTGACAAACCTGCTTTGTCACTGATCCACTTCCTGCTTCACGACGACTCCTCTGATTCTCTCATTTCATTCCGGTTGTAGTAAAAAYCAACAGTACGACTGCAAGTGGTACATCCCTCTGACCGAGCTGACCTTCCAGGGCCTCGAGGACACCGAGCCTCTCACGGTCCCCCAAGTCCCGGACGAAGAACTGGACGCCATCAAGGTCAAGATCTCCCACCTGCGCAGTGAGATTCAGAGGGAGAAGGTAAAACGGACACGCGCAGATTTGTAGATATATCGAAGCGGACGTTTCTCGCAGCGGAATGCACGACGGTGTTTTCGATTTTTCGAACAAGCGTTTTCCATTTTGCTTCCAGAGAGCCAACAAGGGTTTAAAAGTCATCGACCGCCTCCGGAAGAARCTGTACGAGCAGGAGTCCTTGCTGCTGCTGACGTCTCCGAGCATGCCCCTCAGACTCTACAACAGGAACGGCAAGGTGACCACCCGCTGCTGCTTGGCTCCGAATGMATCAGTTTTACAAACATTAAGCTCAGATTTGGTGCATCCCCTACACACACTCTGCCTGCAAAGCTTTGGTTCCTGTAAGGAAGGTTTGTGTTTCTGTRTTTCAGAGTTACAGCTTCCTGATTTCATCTGATTATGAACGAGCTGAGTGGAAGGAGATCATCAAGGAGCAGCAGAAGAAATGTAAGTTCCTCAAAGATRCTGTATCTACCGGTAATTAAACTAAAACATTCCATGTTAAATATTGCTGATAATCACTGTGGTAAATATTCTGTCACTTACAGTCTAAATTTATTTCCCTCCAGGTATTAAAACACCCTCCCTTACTTCCATGGAGCTGCAGATGTTAACCAGCTCTTGTCTCAAACTTCAAACCGTTCACCACATTCCACTTAGTATCAATAAAGAAGGTCAGCTTGTTGTTTTTTTATAGCTTAAAATCAATGTTAGATTTTAAATTTAAAGTTTATTGCTGATTTATCTGTTATCTCTTACCTGATTCTGCTCCAAGACCAACAGATCTATAAGTTTTCCTCTGTCCTCACTGTCCTCTCCCCCTTTTTTTTCTTGACTGCTTTTCCAGAGGATGAATCCTCCGGTCTCTACGGGTCCCTGAATGTAATTGTCCACTCTGCCTCCGGCCTCAAACAGAGCTTAAGTGAGTCACTTAACATCCTGTCTTTATGCAAATAACAGCAAATCAGGGGAAAATATGTTAAGAAAGCAAAATTGTAATAAAAGAAACCATCCCAAAGAACATTGACTACAATCATTATTGTAGACTAACTTTTCCAAGTTGGTCGAATTGAATTATAAAATTATTATTTTTAGTTAAACCTCTTTTTTTCTGCCCGTCAGATCTCTATTGCACATTGGAGGTGGACTCCTTCGGCCTGTTCTCGAACAAAGCTAAGACGCGAGTGTATCGCTACACCACTGAACCCAAGTGGAATGAGGTAAAGACTCAGATAAAAGGAGAGATTTTTGCATGTATTGGACCAAAACGTGGCTCTTGTATTTCTACAGTTCTACTTTACTGAARATGTGAAACATAAACAAACACTATGTACCTTTCTTTAGCTCGGCATACGTCTGGTTCTTAAAAATATCTTCTTCCTTGGACGGTTTATTCTGCCTGTCATGTATCTGACATCTGCTCTTTAAATCAGTGAGCTGTTCCTTTCTGAGCAGGGAAATGTGTCTTATGAAACCCACAAACAAAACATGACTAATATACAATGGGGTGCCGTTTGTAAAGTTATACAATCAAAAATTACCACCAATATTTTTGTTTTATTTAGCCTTTTATAAGAAAAAAATAGAACAGATTTATTTTTCAAGGTCAGTTTTTCACCAHATGATTCATWCATTTATAAATRTCATAGTTTATAAACTAAATATTTAACTTACAAATTAAATATTTAGTTAACAAGCTAAATATTTAACTTGTGACTTAAATACTGTATTTAGTTTTGAGCTAAATATTTAGCTTGAAACATAAATATTTAGCTGGCAAGTTAAATATTTAGGTTGCAACTTAAATATTTAGCTAGCTACCTAAATATTTAACTTAAATATTTAATTGCTAGCTAAATATTTAAGTTGCAACCTAAATATTTAACTTGCCAGCTAAATATTTATGTTTCAAGCTAAATATTTAGCTCAAAACTAAATACAGTATTTAAGTCACAAGTTAAATATTTAGCTTGTTAACTAAATATTTAATTTGTAAGTTAAATAWTTAGTTTATAAACTATGACATTTATGAATGTATGAATCATATGGTGAAAAACTGACTTTGAAAAATAAATCTGTTCTTCTTTTCTTATAAAATGCTAAATAAAACAAATATTGGTGGTAATTTTTGACTGTGTAACTTTACAAATGGCAACCCCCATAATATAATTATAATGATGTTAGTTTAGCRTTCTGACATAAAAGATGGCAGCCGAAAGGCATTCTTCCAAGGACTGCAAAGTCTTTTCATTCAGACTGGATCTTCTTTGGGAGTTCTGCTCGGCAAAGTTGAAATAATAGAAAGTAACGTGGAGCTGCAGCTTGCAGTGACTCACACCTGTCCAAAAGCTAAATAAGCCAAAACCGAGGTCGTCTCAGAACAATCTGCAATCCATATTCAGTGACTCCTTACATAACACAGCAGGGAATGTTGCTGGGCTGTGGGTTGCAACAAGATGTATGTTTTTTCTTTATCCATTTGGTCAAAAAGGATATTATATACTTTTTGTGTGTCTGCTTCCCTGCAGGAGTTTGAGATCGAGCTGGAGGGCTCTCAGACCCTGCGGCTGCTCTGCTACGAGAAGAGTTACAACAAGACCAAGCAGAACAAAGAAGACGGAGAGAGCGCGGACCGCATCATTGGGAAAGGACAGATACCGGTATGACATGACATCACCCCCACCCCCCCATCAACCCCCACCCCACCCACACACGGACACAATCAGCACTGTGACTCATTTCGAATAAGAAGTTATGTCACCACTTTTGCCATGAAATCCACGCTAAATCTTCAGGTATAAATGTAAATATGAATATTAGCTTATCATCGAGTTTTGTGTGATCAGTCAGACGAAAAGGAAAGAACAGATCAGTGAGTGTTTTAAAACCAAAAAATAAAAGATCGCATCAACAACAACTTCCAACAGAGTGTGATCGTTTTTGACAAAAGTTGTCATTTTTTTATGCTGGATTCAACACAATCACGTATAAGTGGTGATGACATCAGAGCTGTTCAGTGTTTTCAAAACGGCTCAGAATCCTGATGTGATGTCGGARTCTGGCTCTGAGGCGGACTGATCTGATGCTGATGACAAATTTAAAATTCTGATTAGGTTGCCAAGACAACACCAGTCTGAAGTCATTACTGTGGATCAACAAGGGAAAAAAARRWTTWAAAAAAGACAAGATTTTCTTCATTTGCTGCTCGTTTCTGTGTGTGTTTGTGTCATTATTGATCTGTGCTGGTATCGTTTGGTTTAGTTTAACTGTAAGAGACAAGTCTGCGTCCTTGTAGTCTGGTAAACCTACAGACACATGCTCCACCTAGTGGTTCTCTCTGTAAACCTGATGACATGATGTCATCGCTAAACAAGCTGCCAAACTGATGGAAATGTTGCTCAGCAGCGTTTTGTGAAATTTATTGTTAATCTGAGTGATTAAGCTGCCACTTCTGTCTGATTAGTCCCACTTTTTCTTTCCTGTTTGGCAGCTTTACAAGTTTGTAGACAAAATGCCCAAACATGAGGTCCAGGAGTGGGCAGCTTGTTAATTATTGTGARTATTTAATGTTTATGTTGATTGTTTTTTTCAGCTTGACCCTCAGACTCTTCAAGGCAAAGACTGGCAGAGAACAGTTATTCCCATGAATGGGGTGAGTGGGACAAATTATTCAGACGAAAACGTGACTTATCTTCACTTATTCGTAATTATACGTAACACGTGGTGGGATTTCTTCTAATTCAAAGTAAAAATTTACAGATTTTTGACCTGGATGATGGCTTGTCGTTTAAAAACTAGTTGAAAAGCGTCCACGTTTTGTTCGCTTGTTTCTCCCTTCACTCGACAGGTCGAAGTGAAACTTTCCATTAAGTTCACCAGCAGAGAGTTCAGCCTGAAGAGGATGCCCTCAGAGAAACCCATGGGTGTGTTTGGAATAAAGATCTCCACAGTGACCAAGTGAGTTCACAATGAAACGAAACATAAAACAGTAAATACACTAATGCACCCTCATACCATCAGWGAGGCTGCATTATTGCAAATCATTGATTTTTGCTTTTATATACAAAACTTCCAGAAACAAACAACTTAAATCACAACCTTAATGATCTCCTCAGGTAATCAAAACTACTCAACCCTTTTTTTTTAATATGTTGTGTTTGTTTTCGTCCAGGCGAGAACGCTCTAAGGTGCCCTACATCGTCCGTCAGTGCCTGGAGGAGATCGAGAGGCGAGGCATGGAGGAAGTGGGAATATACCGCGTGTCAGGGGTGGCCACTGATATTCAGGCCCTGAAGACCGCCTTTGATACCAGTGAGTTCAAACTCGATCCCTCTGCTGTAAACTGAGGAGCAGGAGTTGTGTGAAACCTGAGAGTCTTTGCTGAACATAAATCTGGCGAATAATTTGCACGAGRTCAATAAGCTCGCTCCTCCTATGCGGTCACATGACCCGAGGTAAAGAAGCCTCAGACAAACTGGGCAGCTGTAACCGTGGATGTTGTGAAGCTGACAGCATTTTCAGGCACATGGAGACGTTTTTGTTTCAGGGTTCCCACGGATCCTTAAAAAGTCTTAAATTGAACTTGCCTTAAGCTGTAGGAACCCTGTTTTCCAAATCAGCCCACACTGAGGTGATGAAGTTTTCTAATAACATCAACTCAGTGAAGTAATATGATGGAAATCATGGAGAAATTTTAGTTAATGTCCAAGTCTTCCACAGCCAGAGGAAGAATGAAACATTACAATAATTGGTGCTCATATATAGACACTTTGAAGCTTAACTGACCAATCCACGGTCACTGCTGCACAATGCTGGTAATGGAAATCTTGACAAGTTAGTCGGAGGAAAAAGCTGGGCAGTTCCTGCAGCTAGGGGGCGTGYCATTTGCCRTTCRATMCCGATTGTTGCAGATAAACCTACTGGCCTGATTGACAGGTGGCGTCATGTCAATTAATGCATGCTTCGTGACGTGGKTGCACTCCTGTTGACATTCTGACAGCGAAGAGGCAAAAAAAACAGATGTTCGTACCCAAAAGTTTCCCTGTTTTGTCATCTTTTTTGTTATTGCATCCCTCCAGTCGTCACTCAGCTCTCGCCTTCCTCCTTCAGATCACAAAGACGTGTCGGTGATGATGAGCGAGATGGACGTCAACGCCATCGCCGGCACCCTGAAGCTGTACTTCAGAGAGCTGCCAGAGCCCCTCTTCACTGACGAGCTCTACCCGAATTTTGCAGGAGGCATCAGTAAGATTTAGTTATCAGTTCAGACAACTGATTAAAATGATGGTTTATCGAGGCTTTTGTTACACAATGCGAGCCTGTAGCTGTGCTATACAAAACATATTTACGCAGCACATAAAAGAGTCACATGAGAAATAATCTGGTCTTCCTTTGCAGCCCTCACTGACAGTGTTGCCAAAGAGAGCTGTATGTTGAACTTGCTGCTGTCGCTGCCAGAACCCAACCTGGTCACGTTCCTTTTCCTTTTGGATCACCTAAAGAGGTATGAATATAGACAACCCTGAGCAAACAGAACTGTACACATCTAAATATCTAAATGTTCTTATAAAACAACAGCTTCAAAATCAACCAGATTGTCTCCCGTATCACTTCTGTTTGTCATTCTTCAAGTCAGCTGCTTTTCTCCCATTAAAATGTGTCGCTTCACCGGTTACGTGTTTCCAGTTACTGTGGTGATTTAAAAATAAATTAGCTTGAGTCGTTTCACACTGGGTTTAGTTCATTACGTAAGTGTGAAAGGGACTTTTTCGGTTACCTTTTCTTAGGCTGATGTTTTTAGAAGTAATGCTTTTGTAAAGTTAGGTATTTCTTAACCTTTATTTTTGTTCATCATAGCTTTTGTGATTCACAAAAAGGTTCTAAAAAAAGCACAAAGGGACTCCGGTAATATGTAGAAATTTAAATCTTTGCGAACATAACAGTTCTAAACCACAATGAATGATGAAACATGGGAATATGTCACATGTATCAGCTGTCATTAAAGGGACTGGGAGGGTATATTGCAAAATGTTTTTTTTTAGCTTTATATCACTTATATCTCATTCTCTCATCAAAAACATACCCAGAGTGTTGCTTTGACTCTTTGCATGTTTGAGAAATCCTTGAATCTCCTGTGGTAGTCATGTGGATCTGCCTAAATGCTCGCAGGTACAAAGCACTGCCTATTTGTACTAAGATCCTGTGSTAGTGTCTGAAATGATAGGCGGTTCTTAAAGAGACAGAGGCCAATTTTAAGGCATTTAAAGGCATTCAAGGATGATTTTCAAAGACTGAGAAACCCAACACATGATAATAAAAAATCATGGATCTACCAGGTTTGGTCCTACAGTGTGTGGTGTACAGCCTCACGGCAAGAGACAACACACCACACACTGACAGATATTTCATTTATGAACATTCAGGTATCAGTCTGAAATCTCGTGAGAATTCAGATGTCAGTGGTAAAATCACGCGTGACCTCCAGAGAGACRTGAGTTCAGAGTAAATAAACGTTTGAGACGAGGAAGAAACAATGTTGATCGTTTGTGGACTATTTTTACCAGAGGAAAAACAATTCAAAATGATTTAACGTCCAGCTGACTTTCTGGTGAGTCGTGACAGTTTTCCCCTCCGTGTTTACGTCACCTCGCTTTCTGATTGGCTACACGTCTCATTCAACAGGCTGCGAGCCCGTTTGACCCCGGTGAACACCACACACGCTGTGATATCGGGCCAAAAAGAATCAAACATGAAYATCCTCGATTTGAGATCGGAGAGGTCTCACCGTCCGTCCGAGCCGACTAGATCACTCTTAACTCCCCACGCACGGCAGGAATATCTGCTCAGATTATCTTTAGAGCCAYCACCATAATCTGCACGTCCTTAAGATTGTCGGAAGGGCAAAAATTGGCATGTTTATCCTGCCGTGTGACGCAGGCCTAAGTTGAAGATGGAATTTTAAAAAAATCAACTAGAGGCCTCTTTTTTAGGCATATACATACTACTGATCAAATATATAACTTTCATTAGTAATTTAAACTTAAAATCATTTCATAAATTTGCACAAGTTGTCTAAAACGTTATGTTGTGACAGGGCCATAACATAGTTAAATGACTGGGTTATAGAATTGAACTATGTGCATGGAAAATGCCCCTCCTTTAACATATTTTTATCAATATGTCAATTTGTTTTTATAGCACATAACAATACGATAAAATACAAATGTCCAAAATTAGGTCAAATAAACATAAAACACAGAAATACAACATAAAACCATCAGCTCTAAAAGAATCTCAAATTCTGCCAGAATCAAAAGCCCAAGAGTAAAGATGGTCTGAGGCATAGATTTAAAAATCTTGACGTCTCAGTGGTCCGACACAAAAAGGAACTATTCTACAAGTTTGTGGCAGAAACTGCAAAAGCCCGATCACCTTCTCATCTTTATTTTGGATCTAGGAATATCTAAGAGAAAAAGTCACTTTTTTTATAGTTTATCATAGGGTTTTAGCTTGTTAATACAAAGCGTGATATTACCTGGTGATTGGGGCGAACGTATAATCTATTTAGTTTTGGGATCATTTTCATGATGGCTTCCAGCACACTGGTCATTGGTGGGACTTGTTTGTCTTGGTCTCCACAGGGTGGCAGAAAAGGAGAGTGTCAACAAGATGTCTCTCCACAATCTGGCGACGGTTTTCGGGCCCACTTTGCTGAGACCGGCCGAGAAGGACAGCAAGATCCCTACGAACCCCACACAACCCATCAGCATGGGGGACAGCTGGTCCTTGGAGGTTATGGCGCAAGTGAGCTAAACACCACCTTCCAGCTGCCAACTACCAACTTACTGTTAAACATTTGAAGCAACCGTCTGAACTTGTTTTTCCTGTGTTCGCCTCGTGTCCTTCCAGGTCCAGGTGTTGCTGTATTTCCTGCAGCTGGAGACGATCCCCACGCCGGACAGTAAACGACAGAGCATCCTCTTCTCCACTGAAGTATAGAGCGGACTCTCAGGCTGTCCGACCAACAGGGTGAACAAAGGGGGGGACGGACCCTGGCTCAAAGTGAGCCCACTGTAGTTTGTTTTTGAATTGACTTGGCWGGATCGTCGCCGGCGGCTCCCGCTGTGCTTGAACACAAGAGGGCGCCACTCGTCTCTGAAGCCCAGAGGACTGGAAGTCGTTGCCATTCATGTCTCTCATCATGACCTGATGATTCCTCGTACCTGCAGTGTTCGGACAGGTACATCTGCTTTTTGTTCATCTCATTGCTGAACGTTTACATCTGCGGTTCATAAATGACGTTGAAATTYAAGTTGTCTACATTTGGGTTTTCGAGTTAGTCTTTTATTTTGGACAATCATTAGCAAAATGTGTCATTCCRTCTCCAACTCGACTTTATGCCCCGACCAGAGGACGGACAAGAAGAGGTCACAGCTGCCACCGTTTTGGCTTCCTCTCCCGTTTTTTATTTCTGTGTTTTTCTAAAAGCACAGGAAGCCAGCACCTGCGATAGTGTTTACAACGTAAACAAATCCAGTTGGTGTTACAAGCTATGACTTGAAGTTCAGAAATTATATAAACCCAATTCTCTTTTTTTATTTGTGTCTTAAGGTAGTTTTCAGCTCAAATATCCAGAAGCAATATATTTTCTAACACAGGAACTGTTTGTGCTCAAATGTTTGTCGATGAAATGTCCGTCTTGTTGTAACGTAGGACATCTTGCCAAACAGGTTTTTGTTTGTTTGTTTGTAGGAAAAATAGGAGGCAGTTCCATTTAAAGATAYAGCAGGTGTACATAATCTTAAAGTTGTATTTTTGTTTTATTTAAGGATATATTCATTGTTGCTGTCAATGTAATTTATTTTGGTGGGTTGGGAGGGTGGGCCCAGTGAAGAAAATTTGGTGTGTTTTTCTATTAGAAACTTTCTTCTCTTTTCATGGAGGTGGTAGGTCTTAGCCTTGATTTCAAGTCTTGTGGTAAATTAGCAAGACGTTGCCTTTTTTTCTATAAAAACAAAATAACTACTCGCCATTCAGCTCAGCCTGTCAGTCAGTCATTTAGGTAACACATTAAAGGTAACACACGTGTCGTCGTTACATGTCGTATGCTGCTGTGGGAATTAAAGGCACACGCCTTTGACCTGCTGGGTGGTCCTCGGCAGGTTTGTCCAGAGACCGTCACACGTCTAGTGTAGACTTTATGCAACACCATAATCCAGAACACACACAAACATTTTAGGTCTTTTTGTAACTTTTTAGTCTGTGGCTGCAGAAGTGCACTCATGCAATATTAAAACTACTGTATTACAAATCAAGTGGCCTGAGCGATTTGCATTTATGTCCAGTGTTTGTTATACTTAAATGTTTTTTTCTTACTGTTTCTATTTAAAAAGACTACATTGCCCACTGAATAGCGAAACTCCTACATTTATGTTTTTTGTTGTTTTTACTAATTTAACATGCAGGCGTGTTTGATTATTTTCTTTTATGTTCTTAATGTTGTCTTTTTCACTCGCTGTGTCATCTTAAACTTGGGATTCTGGTTATTTACGATGATCATTTTTACACAACTAAATTGTGTCTTTTTCTAACTAAACTAAAATTAGTTTTTCTGACAACTAAAACTATCAGCCATGTTTCCTCTTTCTAATACCAAAATAGTACCAAGTAGTCAGGAACTGTGGATGTGTCCTTTTGAGTCATGRATCCAACTTTTTCTAAGCTTGACTTTTTATTTTGTTGCCTTATAACCAGTATTTACTATACAAAATACTTCAGATTAATCAGGTTAAATAAGGGAAAAACAGTTTTAAATGATTCTAAAAGATAGAAATCTGAAAAAGGAATCAAATGTATTCTGTCTACAAAAACTTCCTTGCTCCATCCGTCCTTCCCTTAACTGGTTTCTCAGTCCTGATGAGAAACGCTCCCTCAGCATGACGCTGCCACCACCGTGCTTCGCTGCAGGGATGCTGTTTTCAGCAGGATGACAGGTGGTAGATATGTATCACACGCATCCTTCATGGCTTGAAACTTCTGAGTTTGGTCTCATCTGACCACAAGACTTTCCAAACAATCCAGCTTTTTTTTTTGGCCTTTTCCTTGTCTCTATTTTACAAAACCTCRAGTTCATCAGGGTCATCTTTGGTCTCCCGGATCATTTTTATATTTTTATTAATGACCTTTTTACTTGCTTAGATCGTCCACAGGTGGATTATGTGGCTTCTGAAGCCAGTGATCAGGGCTTTAAAGGGGCCAATATCATGTAAAATCAACTTTTTTGATTTTTATATCTAATGTTATACTCTCATAAAAAACATGCCCAAAGCCTTGCTCTGACTCATTCAYGCATGTTTGAGAAATCCTGCAGCGTTTTTAGGAAGACATGCTGAGGAGCAAAACGACAGGTGGGGACCAGAAACGCCTTTAGGACATGTCTTTAAGCCGAACCTCCTCATGGCAGAGTGCCCCCCTCCCCACATACCCTACCCATGACTCCTGCAGGCTCTCGGGTGAAACTGAAAGTGAAATTTAACTGTCTGCTGAGCTCTTAACACTACTTCTCACTTAGTGAAGCTCTTTTCAGA